TCCCTTAACCGCTCCATGCTTCCAAAACCGTGGCTGATATCCACAGCAAGGGATCAGATTTTCTGGCAAGTATCTGCCCTAATTGAGCATTTACTGGAGTGGTCGAAGTCTTCACCACAATGCTGGTAACTATTTTGAATACCCATCTTCTGCTCAGAGGATATATACCTTATCACTTTGAGTTTGGGAAGAAAGGTGGTCTTTCAATTTACAGTTAGGTCCTTTTAGCAGATAGAGACCTCAAATGGAAATTACATGTAGGTTAATTAACAATAGAGGTAGATTTTCTGATCACTTAATTTGTAAAATGTAATTCATAACCGCTCATGACGTTTTTGTCAGTTTTTAAGTTTTATCCTCTTCAAAGAAACGTCATGGATTCGATTTTAAAATGCTTCTTCGTATTGCCCATTCTCACTTTATCCTCTACCACCAAAATTGCTAAATATTTTTAAAGGCAACACTGAAACTGTTCTTTATCAATGTAGTCAAATAACCAAGACAGAGAAATAACTGCTTTTCTACCTGGATATTTAATCTGTGAAACATATTTAATGAGCCTGTTCTATACAAATGGTTTCCGTCAGTACCAAATTAAAATCTGGACAAGCCTAGATAAGAGTCTTTATGAAAAATATTTTCAAATTTAAATTTCTCAATCCAGATGTTCACAATTACCATTTTCTCTAATCACAGTGCTTTGTAATGTGTTCCTTTATGATATTCACATGCAGTCATCGCTAATCTACATAAAATAACTGCATAATTTTATAATTATATGAATGTATACATTTGATGTGAAAGAGAAATACTAAAAATGGAAAACCTTGAAGACTGATTCGTACGAAGGGTAATTTTGTGCTCAGTGTATGAACAAAAGTCTGTTATCATCTGTGATTTGAAGACAAAGTATGTTGTATCTACCAAATATTAGATAAAAACAGCTGGCACAATATAGTTATTTTTTTCTAAATCCACTTAGCCTTTAAAATGGAAGAAAGACCACTCTAGCACAGGATTTATTATGACATTGTGAAAGCTCTGAAGTGACAAAATTCTAACAGGAATTAAATGGCTATTGTAGAGACAGAGGAAAAGCTGTGTTTGTAAAGCACCGATGACTAAACTGCTTGGGAAGCAAAACGTATGTACAGGAAAAGAAGAAATCGGGCGATGCAGTGAAACTTAGATGTCTAGAAAACCAAAACTTCAGTGAGCCCATATTTGCTTCCTCTTCTGTGCTTGTTTCGGTCCGGGCTAAAGCAGTATTCTCTAGGCAGGAGTGAGATTTCACTAACAGCAATACACGGAGAAAAATCCTTGTGCTGGGTTGATTCACAACTAAGTGGGCTGCAGGTGGGGAGTTAGCTAAAATATGAAATTTGAATATTTTAATAATTTATGACTTTACCTTGGATATTAGAAATGATTTTTTGCCTTAAAAGGGAAAGTTTTTTTTTTTATTTCTTCACAGTATTTAAAATAATTCTTCAAGTGTGTATATAATGACTAACACCATTTGTAGGTTCCATAAGGCAATGAGAATAGAAAATCATGAAAATCACCATCTTTCTCCTCATTCCTTTCAACCCGGTGTTGTTACTATGTGACAACAATGAAAGTACACCATGGAAATGTGTCTTTGGGGAATGAAAGCTCAGCACCACCTGTGGCAGGGCAGGCTTCTTGAAAGGCACTTTATTTGGAGATATTCAAAAGTTAATTCCTTCTAGGATTCTCTGTTGAATGCTTAATGATACTTTCTTTCCAACAATCAGCTCCAGCTGATGGAGGATATTTTCCAGGAATCTGATGTGATTTTACTTATGACATGAAGGCTATGTTAACCAGTTGGATGAAAGTATTTCAAACTGTATATAGAAACAGCACACAGTACCCCGTGATAGTATTAATGTACACTGCTATGATTTAATAAAAAAACCAAAAAAACAAAAAAACTAGATTCTGCCTTTTTAAGTCAGGAAGGTATCACTAAGGACCATGCTATTTGTCCTTAGTCCTTGTTCTCTTCAATTCTCCTTCAGAAAATCATTTAGAGCGTTCTTCAGTTACACATGGTGTTTGGGGAATAATGACTCATTGGCCTAGACATAGGAATAGAAGTGGCCCAGGCCATATTTGTGACCTGGATAGCTGTGACTATTGGACTCAGTTGTCTTGTCCCTCTGCCATTGTCAGCTTTTC